TCTCCTCGAGGCGGCAGCCCGGCCACCCGACGTCGTCATCCTATCCGCGCCCCCCGCCCCGGAAGTTATCTCGACCGCCGCATGAACGCGGGTAGTCCCCCGCGGAGGGTGGTACGCAAGCCGCGGAATAAGAGTACGTTCCGGGGGAGGCGGGGGCCGGTAGTCCCAATCGGCCTGGACCTCCGCCTCCGCGCGTATCGCGGTCTCCTCCAACGAGTCATAATCGAAATAGTCATCCTGACGGATGAGCGCTCTCACTCGCGGCAACAAATTCCGACGCGTCAACTCTAGTTGTTGATCGTGGAACCACGGTGGGTCTAGACGGTCAAGCATCGCCCTAAGACGCGTTATATAATCGGCAGCCCTCTCGCTCTTCCCTTGCGTACGACGCTCTACTTCGCGACGCAAGGCGGCCTGATGTCCGGGCGCCGCGAACCGATTCCGAAAAGCTACCTCGAATTCTCGCCATGTAGTCCACCACGCGCGTCGATCCATGTACCACAAGCGCGCGGTATCCGCGAGGAATAGCGGCAAGCATTGTAATAACTGGCGGTCGAGTACGGGAACGATCGTACGATTTATCGCGATCTCTCTTAAAAAGTCCTCGACGTCATCATTGAGGCGGTCCCCAGAAAATTTTAACTCCCATTTTCGTAACAAGTTGTACAAACTTTCCGTAATTGCGGCCTCCGCCCCCGTCGGACGGCCGCCCGTGGCTCTCACCAATCGCGCCGATCGTGGAAGCACGTCGTCGCGAGTCTCGTCTCGACCGACCGCGCTCCTCTCCGCGGCCCCAGGCCTTCCGCCCAAGACATGAGGAACGCCAGTTTGCGCGAAAAAATCGGCAGCCGTTGACAGGGGACCGGGTGTAGGAGGCCCCTGATCCGCGAGACCCGTCTCATAGCGGAGCAACCGCTGCCGCAGGGTGGGCAAAATGCCGTACTCAAATTCCGCGCGACGAGCTCACTTCGCACTTGTTCTAAGCCTAATGAAGCCACCCACCCATCTAAATCACCGTCTCCTGGCATTCTCTCTTCCTTAACCGTCGCTATGGTGGTTCTACTATTCTGCCGATAAGTCGACCGCCGAGCCTCTGAGGCGAAACACTCGAATCTAAGATCGCACGCAGAGATACACACTCACTCCTAATGACCTATCCTACCAGCCCTGCTGACGGCTGAACGCATTCGCAGAGGAACCAAAGTCTCCTGTCAACACGGCAACCAACGGCCGTGCACGAGGAACCGAGCAATCCGCGATCTAAATATTGGTTTCAAAGCGCGACGAACTCACGTACGTCGTCCGCTGACTCTAACCTCACGCTCCCCCTGCCTTCGCTCACCCGCGAGTGTACACACGAGGCGCAAGTCTCAACTTGTTGCTCTATTCGTCTGACATTACGCACAATAACATGCGCGAACACGGGACGAATTCCTTAACTCGCTTCTCTATTCACTTTACAGCACGCACAGTAACACACACGAACACGGGACGAATTTCTTACGCGACGTTATATTCACGAGAGCGTGAAGACTTACGCGGCACGAGGATCGTATCGGCAACCGACAACACGCCGCGGTGTCTAACACAATAGCACACACGAACGCGGGATGAAAAACCATCCGCCGGCGAACGACAGAGAGCCGCGACACGTAAACACGCGTCACCCGTTGCCCCTCTCGCCCCGCGCGCCGACCGGTGCTCACGAATCTCTCGCGTTTCCCCGCTCGCGGTATCCCTCGCGCGCCCTTAAGCTCTCGCCCGCTCACGGGCCCTTCCTGTAAGAAGCGGGTTAATACAACATAATCAAACCAATTTACAATTTACACAATCGATAGAAATGTACAAAATAGCAATCGCAAAAAAGGACACTCGCACACTTATTCCTCCTCCCTGCTCTCTCACCGCGTCGCCACAATTACTATTATCATTATTCGCGAAGGCGGCCCCACGTTGGGCGCCAATTTTTGTAACCGTTTTTCGTTAGTTGTACGCGAGAATACGGCCAAAACTTCGTCTCCGCCGTTGCGGCGACGGCCGAACTTGCTGGCAGCTCTCAAAAAAAAATATCTGACTTGATAGAGCGGCGGGGTTCGTGTGTCGACGCGCGACCTTCCTTCGCGCGACACGAGAGGAACAGGCGACAGAGTCGGAGGAATCACGAAAGAACACATATACGGTTTAACATTACGCTGTATTTAACAAAAAAAAAAACAACAAAGAAAGATTCTACAAGAGACGCGGTGCGGGCTCCGAGTCGCGTAGTCGCGAAGTCATTCGGCAGCTGGATCCGTAGTCGAGGATCCTTCTGCCTCGCGAAGTTCGGACGGCACGAGGCTCGCGAAATTCTATCGTTACACGCTAATTACTGAATTGGGCGCCAGTCGGGTGCATCCCGGCCCTAATTGTCACGTCGCGAACCACGTATTTCTTGCCACTCTCGGAGACCCGCACTTCCTACGAATGATCGCGAGTCGTCATAATTCTCACGCAATCGCTCGCCGTACTGTGCGGTCGCGAACGCGGTGAAGCGGCAGCAGGCAGCGCGGTAAGGACGGCTATTCTCTCGCGGGCCCCGAATCTGAGTCCGCGATTGCGAGGTTGGACGGGTCATCAAGGATGGAGACAAACCCTTCCGGCTGCCGTCGGGAAGCGACGGCAACCATCCCGGTCTTTCGGCGCTCAGGCTGAACGACAGATGGAAGACAGCTCACCAAATATCTCTCGCTGGGCCCGTTCCTCGTTCTCCGTCCGCTAGCTCGCTCGTTCGCAGACTCGTTCGCTCGCTCGCAGGATCGTTCGCTCGCTCGCAGGATCGTTCGCAGCACTCGCGTCGCTCGCTATCCGCACAGTGACGAATTTTTCCGCGAGCGCGAGGCTCCTTAGGCTCGCGGTCTCAGCCGCCGATCGCCGCTAGGTCCTATTGGTCCTGCGGGAACGCACGGCTCTAGCGCGGGCGCCTTACAGGGCCCGCGCGACACCGCCGAATTCTCTGACTCCTTGTCGACGGGATCCTGTGCCTGAGGGCATCTCTAACTGGCGTGGGCGCTCAGGTGGCTGCCGGAAGCTCTTGGTATCCCAGGGCGTCGCCCGGGATCTGGTCCTTAAGGTCCAGCCCTTCCTGGCGCCCCGCGGCAAGTTAGTCGGGGCCCCCGTCGCTTAAGGGGGGAAATCCAATTAGAACTTTCAAAAAATCGAATTTTTTTTTTTTGCATAAAATGTTTATTTAACATTGTAAGAATATGTTCCCAACGTTTTAAATCGAAATTCGCAGCCGTTCGGAAGTTATGGCCTCCGAGCGCAACAAATCTCTTGAGCAGCGTCGAGGCTCTAATAGCACGCAGCAGGTATACTCACCCGGAGCGGGGATTTTACCTTTCAGGGCTGCGATCCAAAACGTATAGAGATGTAATTATAGTTTTACTGTAGGTTTTGGA